TAAACTTTATTATATTTATGCTGTCATCTTCCAGGAGAATGCAGGACTATTTAAATAGATGGTCTGATTCCATGTAAGGAATCACTGGCCATGAGATATGAATATCAGAGTGACAGCAGTGATGTATTCCAGGCTGGAGACTAATCAGGAGAATAATGTGTGTTTGTCCAGTTAGGTGTTAGTCTTGCTAGTTAAGCTGATTAGTGACAGACATAGATAGGGATAGGGCAATGACTTTTTATCCACTATAACAAATCAGTCTAAAAATAAACATATGACAGAATAAACACCATGAATCGGGGAAACAGTTTTTTTCAGAGAGATAAGAATGTCTTATTTTATCCAAAACTGGAGGCAGTCACACTAATGAGTGGGAGATGATTGTGATATATCAGAAACGGGGATTGGAGTTAGTACTCATCTTTCTATGCTCTGGTTTTTGCTTGAAAAAGCTTTCTAAGAGGGGAACTTGGTGGTAGAATGTGAGTTGGCCTTGGTAAGTGATGCTAAGGATGGAATTGGCAACAGAATAGGATGAGCCTCACATAATTTGGGGGTGGAAGGGGGAGCTTGAGTGAGTGAAATATAATTATGGCTTTCCTGGCTGGTAAATGCTGCCTTGAAGTTGCTCTCCTCCCTGTATTGTGAAGACATTTTCAGTACAGCTGGAAATGTGTTGCTAATCAACAAGCAAATGTGAACACTATGAATATAAAACCATCGGCATTTTTTAGGAGAAAATATAAAGGCTTTTCATCTGGAGCATATTTGTACTTGCTAATAGCTTCTGACAGTGATAAACTTGTGGGCAGTGTCATTTCACAAATGAGAGGTTAAAATTCTGAAGGATTTCTCCAAACATGAACCCAGGGTCTTTTTAAGGTTCCTGTCAGTGAAAAAGTCGATCCTAGTCTAACTTGCCATCCAAACATGGACTTGTTCATTTCATTGCAGATCTTCATTTTCTTAGAACTGAGAATTAAGAAAAAAAAAAAAATAAAAAAATAAAAAAAATTGGGATATTTCAAGAAAATACATCTTTCTTATAAAGACAGGAATTGCTGTACTAGGCATTACAATGAATCTAGTCAACCACCTTTAATAAGCTCCTGATGCCCTGCTTCATTTGTGACAGCCAGCAATTCAAGGCGGGTGTTGGAAATTAAAGTAGTCTTTCAGAGCTAGAACCCCAAACAGGAGATAGATGCCATTTCACCTGTATATTCTGCCAAATGATCCACAATAAGCAGAGGCACCACCTCTGCAGTGGAACCTTCTATTTTGCTACTTTGCTAGACTTCAGTGTCACCTTGCCGCTCATGATTTACAGAAACTCATTCTGTGTTACCAAAACTGGAGGCTATTGCAGTATGTGGATGTCTGAAGAGCAATTGGAGATATATGTATTCCTTTTTTTAGTGTTGTTTTCCAGACCATGTTCTTTTAGGGTGAGACAGAATAGTCTCAACATTCCCCCAAATCATCTCTGAAACCACTCAAACGTGTTTTTCCAAGAGATGAAGAATTAACTAGGATTGAACTAGGCTTGGCTTGAGGTATTTTTTTATCTAAGCTAGAATAGCCTTTTTTTTGCATGTTCCCTTGTGTCACGTAAATGCAAAAAAAAATGACAGTTAAGTGCACTCAGACAATGATGACACAATCTTGTTTCCTACCAGGCATGTTTCAGATGTACCTTTTCTAGTTAATCTCTAATCATTAGTGTCCCATCCTTTGACAATCTGGCTATGCTAGCAGCTTGTATAGGTCAAGTGTTGAGGCCAGCATCATGCACTGAGCTTGTTCTCTCTGCTCCCTCTGCTCATCTCTGCTTCCTCTTCTCTTCAGATGGTGCAGTCCAACACACTTCTTCCTCCTTCCGGTAGGGCTGCATCACTCACTAAATCCAGGTCCAAATGGCAATCTGGGATAGCATCACAGTACCCATAGGGAGTTAAACCAAGTGGTCTTTCCCAGAACCTCTGTCACAGCAGCCAGCCTGCTGGTTTGCTGGGTGAGCTGCTTTGTGAATGGGCTGGTGCAGAGCAGGCAGGCTGGATGCAGGCGGGGTGTGTGCGTGTGCACAGGAACATCCACTCAGGCACCTGCAAGGGGGTTTCTGCGTCCTGATCTCTGATTATGAGGAATTTTTAATTCTGCTTCTTGCTTCAGCTAGGCTCTTGCATCATCCAGGGGCATTTTTGGATACCTCCTTAATGCCAAGCTGCCATCTGATTTTTTTTTTTTTAAATGATTTTTAATCTTTTCTGTTTGGGGGAAAAACAAGCTGTGTTCGAGCACTACTTCATATCTCTAAAAATAAAAGTTGGCTTTCTAAGTGCACACCATACTCCCTCTCTTTCTGCCTCTCCAGCTCCCCCCACTTCCCTCTCGCTGCTTCTTTCTGCTGGAGAGACTGGGAGGGGGTCATTCTTGGCAACCACTGAAGATGGATTCTGAGTGGTGCACAAGTGCACACATAGCAATTTGGCACACAGCAGGGGCTGGGGGCGGGAGGCATTTTGGATTTGTCAGCTCATCGGCACAGCTAGGTTCTTGTCAAACAGCAGAAGTTGCACAAGTCCCTGGTGGCTGAGATGCAATTGGTGAAGCTGTGTTGGTCTGGAAAAGCAAAGATGTGAGGTCACAGGATCATTTTCTCTCTCATGCTGCAGCACAGTTGACAAATTAGCTCATAATCCAGCATTTCTTCCTCAATTCCCATTCCCTTTCCTGTCTTGTGTGCCCCAAATTTTATGTCAGTTCTGATATCTATTCTTTGCCTCTGTATATTCATTTCCCTGTCTTCATGTATCAGCAATTCTGTTAATTTGGATTCTATGACTGGCTAGGAAATTTTAGAGACTTTATTGTGGTCAGCACAAGCTTGTGCCCAGGAAAGATTTTTGTTAGACCCAGGGATTTCTAAAAGGTGATACACGGTACCAAGGGAGTTACACAAGCTGCTGCAAAGCAGTACCCAATACAGGGCTGAATCAGGGGTTGTTTTTGCCAATATTGCTGCTGCCACTGATGTACTATTGATGGCCTGTCAAGAAGTATATAAAAATTGAAAGCGTATTACGTTCCTGGTCTAGGAGCTGAATATAGTCTGCATACCATGACACAGATTTCCTTTGATGAGATGCCTCACACTTTCCTAAACTCATTTTCTGAGTAAAATTATTTTTTTCACTGTATTTTTGCATGACTCAGAGATGCCTTTTCTATTTGTGCTTGCAAGCAAAAAGTATTGGAGCTTTTTACGTCTGTGCTGTTTGGGAGAAGTGCTTTCATCTGCAGGTAAATATACAATGTAGTTTTGGATATGCTTGACTTCCTTCCATGACTCTGTCAGTTGCTTCAATTCATGGAATCAGAATTTCTTTAAGATATCTCAGTGACAGGTAATCCATATAGCTGTGTGGATTATGTTCCTGCCTTGACCTCTGCTGCTGTAGATGTTGAGTCCTAATGAAGGGAGTAGGAGGATGCTGGCAGATCTCTGTTTTTGTGCGCTTACTGTCCTACCCCCAGTGCAGCATTACACTCTAATATGGTGAGGGGCTGCTTCTCTGTGCGACAAACTCCTCAGAAGTTATTTTAGAAAACATCAAGCCAATCTGTCACATAAGGCTTGGCCTGGAGTTAATCTTGGAGCAACCAGATGATCAATCCACCCTTCCCCAGTGTGGTAGAGACTGCCTAATTACAGACTTCTGTAGGAATGGGGCTAGGATGTTCTGGAAATCTCACTTCAGGAGCAGTGCAGAGTAGCTGCTGCTCAGCCTTATCTCCCACAACACAGCCCTGCACATCACACAGACTATTCTGCACACTGGATGTGTATTGCTATTTTTCAGATGAACTGATATACTTAAAAAAGTGAAACAGAACAAAAATTTAATTATTATTAAAAACCAAAGATAAGAGTAGATCCAGATCCATGTGCATCAAAACATCCAAATTTTTGTTTGGGTAATTAAAGGGTGGTTGCCAGAGTTCAAAATTAAGCTGCTAGTCTAGTGATCAAGGCATTCTGCCAAGTTAAAGTCCTGTTGCGGAAATATGTGAATATTCCCTTGTATATACAGACTAGCTGGAAACTTGCATATTGCTTTTACCTTATAAGAATTTATTCTACCTATTCCACTAAAATAGCAACAGTTTTAAATTGCAAACATCTCCCTCAGAGTGCTTTGTAGCTTTAGCTGGGTGTGTAGTTTCTTGTAGATGGGGAAAGGGACATAATTTATTTCTTTCATATACCCTGTAACAGCTCTAACCACCAGGTGTTTTGGAAAAAAAGAAGAATTAAGTTGTGGTTTTGGTTGGCCTAATCTTCAGTATAACCTACAGATTCAGCTCTTCAGTTTTGCTGTGACAAAGTACAAATGAGTAAATTCAATAGCAGATATTTGGAACAGTTGTATTGAGAACTAGAGGCATCTACACAAGGCAGAAGCCGAGTGTTTCTTTTGAGCATCCAACTCTTGTGGATCTGTCTGTATCTATTCTTGTCCTCTCATACCTTTGGGACTGCATTTAACAACACAAGGGTTGGAGGGGCTGGACTAAAAAAATGTTTTTCTTCTCATTATTGTAATTTTGATTTTTCTGATAATGCATAGCAAGCTAGGTCAAAAACATCATGGGAAACCATACACTCATTACAAGTTCTATGATACCATAAAAAACAAAATCAACATAAACATGAGAAAACTCGATAGGAGGATAAAATCTCTTGTGGGAATTGAATGCAGGCATATCCAGCCCCAACACTAGCCTCCTGCCAGCACCTGAGCAGCTTGTTTTGTGTTGTAAGGGCTTGTGCAGTATTGAGTGATGACACCAGCTGTGCTCAGGTTCTTGAATTACAGCTCAAAGGGTGGTGGCCATCAGGGCCTGCAGGAATGATTGGCTTGCTGCTAGACTGAAAGGCAGAAAGTTAGGAGCTGGGGCTGAGGAAGAAATAAGTAGCTTCCCAAGTCTCTCTGTCTTTTACTATAATTCTCTTGGAGAATATGGCTTTGCATGTCAAATTTTTGTTCTGATATGCTTACCTTCTAGTGGTATGTGCTGGCACGTTGTCCTGTATGCAATAGAGGCTTGAAGGAGACAGTTCATCCCAATGCTCTCAGAGGTGAGATAATCTCGTCTCCTACCTGCACTCAAGCTTTGCAGCTAGATTTGGTTTTCATTTAGCTTGAATTATTTGTGATGAGAATTCTAGCTGAGGACACACATTTCCTGAAATGGATATACTACACATGCCTCAGCCACAAAGTTCCCTCACTAAACTGATGTCTGGTGCTTTCCTCTTTTAAGGAAAGCTGTAATTTTCTTCCATAGTAAGCTTAGTGTCTTTGACAGAAACTGAACAAAGCAAAGACCAATTTAAGTAATTTGTTTATATAGGTGGCTGCACATAGTCATTTAACAGCTTGTGTCAGATAAAGACAAAGCAGACTTCCCATGTTCCAGTTTGGCATGCATTATAAGGACTGGGAGAAGTGGATCTGAATCCACATTCCTTAAGAGAAATGTTCCTTTCTCTAGCAGGCTGGATTATGTAGCTTTCATCACCTGACATCTTTTCTCTGAAGGGCTGTAAAATGCCAAGAAAATTTTCCAAATCTAGCAATAATGATATTTGAAAGATGTAAATGTAAATTTTATTTTTTTTTTTAAGATTTAAAGATAGATTTTCTGCTTATATTGAAATATGTTTAAACTGAACTGCTTGAATGATTAGTCAGGGAATGAATACACATTATTTGGCTATTGCAGTCTGGCGAGCCAATCTTGATTTGGTCAGCTAAGTAGGGAACAATACAGCTAGCAGTGATGGAGGAACCTGCCCAGATCTTGGCCAGGTTTATACATTACTATCAAAAGAGAGACCTGGCTGTGGAAATTAATCAAGTTTCTTCTCTCCAGGGATCAAAGAGGTTACTCAGAGGATGCAGGAGAAATGTAGGGATTCAGCTGTGTCACATTTTCTCTCTAATTGAGCTGTCTAGGGAGCCTCCCACATTTTGCAGAAGTGGAAACATCCAGTTTCATTTTATCTTTCTCAGACTGCAGCCACTCTCTTCTTCGGAAGCCAAGGTCACACTAGGTATACTTTTGGTGTTTGTCCCTTTAATTCTCCTACAGTTTCACAAATGTTTCTGGTGTATTTTTAAATTTTAGCTTATAATCACTTTTTTTCCTTTTTTTTAAAGGCACCATCTGGTCTCTGATATGGTTTAAAATAACAATCTAGCCAGGATACAACCAGCAGAAGGACTTTACCCCTTTCACAACCCAGTATGAGAGCTTCCCCACCTATATTTCTCCACACACATTGTCACCATCAGATCACGTTCCCTCCAGAGAGGTCTTGCAGAAAGCAGGGTCTTGCAGCTCTTGCTTTCCATCCCTTTCATCAAACATAGTCATTTTATGGCAACAAAATGGATGCACTAGAGAAGCTTATAGCTAGGAATGTGGGAGGTCTGCTGTAAACAGCTCAGTCAGAGAATTTGTAGTTGGAGCTCACTTCTGCATTTAAGCTGCCCTCTGGTGCTTACCACTTCTGCAGTGCATGCCTTCATCATGTGCCCTGGTGCCTGGAGACACCTGCAATATCCAGGGAGAAGAGGGAATCAAGCATTGCAAAACATTCCTCTAAAAAAAAAAAAAATTAAAAAAGGCCCCATTCTGTGGGTGTTTTATTTTAAGCAGGACATTAACATGCTATGTTATCATTGCAGGTTATGCTGGGCAGGAATTTTGTTTTTTTTGGTTTTGATTTTTATGCGTCACAGCGTAGTTTATTTTATCTTCTTGCTGCGTGCAACAGCGCTGTCTGTCATGGTGCTTTCCCAGTAACCACAAATCAAAGCATGCCACTAAGCAGGGCGATCGTGTGACTGTCACCCCTGGCACAGCTGAGGCTCAACCTGGTGTTTCTCCTCTGGCTGTTGGAGGACCCGAGGTTGTCAGTGCCAAGGTAGCAGAGACAATAAATACGAAGGTACCTTTTCCTAATTACAGACAGCAGCTCTAAGGGGACCTAAACCACTGCTGGAGACAAAAGCGGGCTAATGTAATGAGCGGGAAAGGACCGTGAGCAGCTCTGGGACTTCTGTGTAGGTTATCTGTATATCGGGATATCCACTGGTCTTTTTGGTTTGTTTTCCTATTGACTAAAGGCAAAGCTGAGCGACTATTTCCCTGCAAGTTGCTCTGTGCCCGAATGACGCTGTGTCCTCGCTGCACTCGGCTGCTGCTGGCAGCACTGGTGGCTAATATTAGCCACACAGCTGATTGTCCCATCGGTGCCCTGCAACAGGTGCGGCACGGCCGCCGTGCTGGAATCCTGCCCGGAGCGATGCCGGTGCTGGCACAAGCCTTCCCATTATATCAGGAAGGGCCATGTCCCGTCTCCACGATGCCCCAGCACCCCAGGCTGGCCCCAGCTGTCTGCGGGACGTGGAGCAGGGCCACAAGCGCCCAGGGAGGCTGCCGAGGGAGAAGCGAGCCGTGATTCCTCCGGAGCGGGAAGACGAAGGTTCCTGGATGGGATTTACAGCTGTGCCTGTGGGGTAAGGAGAAGGCTCCTGCAGAGCCCCAGGCCCCGTGGTTTTGTGGCATTGCTCTTAGAGGGGGGGAAACACAAACAAATAAGTACTAAAAATCAAGTATCAGCACTCTGAAATGAGCAAATATGGGTTGCATTTCCTCATCGTGTTGGCCGTAGTTTCTTCACAGCACAGTACTTTGGGTTTACATTAATTTTAATTGGCACTTTCTAATTTTAGAATGCTCCTGTGAAAAGTTACTTTCAGTTCCAGTGGTGATTAAATGGTGATGATGTGTTTTTGATAATAAACAGGGGACAGATATTGAAAAAAGAAATCAAAAGCACTGGCTGCACTTCTGGGCCAGGGGGAAAGAAGTGTTGTTGCTCTGTTCTAAAATTATCTGATCTGTCTGCTCTGGCATGACATCTTAAGGTCTCCCATCTCTTTTTTTTTAATATTTAATTTATTTTTTTTTTTCTTTCTTAACACCCCTTTTTTCTTTTATTTTCTTAAACCATATTAGCATCATTTGGTAAAAACAGCAAAATATCTAGGTGGTGTTTACGTAGCCTAAATGTTGGAGAGAGGAAGGGGGAGCCGGAAGACTTGCAAGGTTTTACAGGATCACTTGTAGCGTCCCGTTCCCTTGATGTGACCCCTCTCCATTGACTGTGTGAAGACAGGCAGGGCTGCCAGGCAGGTCGGGAGGGATCTGTGTGCCACAGCGTGTCCCGTGTGTGCTGGTGCTGTGACTGCTGGCATGCTCAGGGATGGAGCCGGGAAGGCTTGCTTAGGGATTTGAGCAGGCTCTGGCTGCAGTGTGGCAGTCTGCTGTGCGCTGGAAAACATACTGCTGCTGCTCCTAAATCAAGGGAAAAAGCAAAAATAAAAGAGAGGCTCAACTCTAAATTCAGTGATTTCTTCTCTGAATTGGTCCACAAAGCAGGGTAGTAGGTCAGCCTGAAGTAATGCTTCTGGAGAGTTAGATTGATGCAAGGGACTGAAATCAGTAGGAATCTCTCCCTTGACTATGGTAGGTTTTGGGTCAGCACAGTCCTCATTATTTATATTTCTATATATGTGTAGCTGTGAAACAAGTTTTTTGGGAGCTGTGGAATAAATAAGCACTATCTGGGCCAAATGAGTACAATAGGGAACTGATGAGAAAGGTCCAGCTTCATAAGTGTAAGGTGTCTCTATGCATAGCCTGAGTTTAAATTCCTTCCAGGAGAGGTTTTTTGATTGAAGCCATTAAAATCTGGACATTGTTTTAGCATGAAGGACAGAAAATGTCTTTTCTCAGTGCTGCATGTGGGGTTGTGCCTCAGAGCGGAGGAGGTTCCTTGCTGTGGGAAGCACGTCTTAGGGGATTGTGAAATCCTTCCTGGGCCAGTGCCTCTGGCTGAGGACACTGCTACTGTGACACTACTACTGTCCTGCAGCTCCTGAGCTCTCCACGGGCAGCACTGCGCTGGGGGCTTGACGTGGCTGTTTGGCAATGAGGACACTATGTAAACTATGACAGTCCTGCAAATCTCACACTGCCTTGACTCATGCTTCCAGTGAAACCTTTCTCCAGCTCCCTCTCTATTTCCCAACACCCAGCCACACTGGTTTCTATTCCTCTTGATGCGTGAAGCAGAATTTGCTGCACCTCACACTAGAGCTTCAGCCATGCCTGAGCAGGAGCTCCCACAGGGATGGGCCAGCACCGAGGGCTGGTGCTGTGCTGAAGGGACGTGTGCCAAGGCACAGGGAAGATGCATGACTATCTCCCTTTGAAAGGCATTTATTTGTGACTTTGAAAGCGCCTCTATGAGCAGCTCACAGAGAAGCCATTTGCAAATTTGATGGCAGTTTTTAAGTACAAGATGAGAGTGGATTTTGCTGCCGCTAAAATCGGTAGCTCCGAGTCCCTCAGGAGAGGTGCAGCAGTCTGCATCGCTGGAGAGCCAGATCTGTCACCTCGCAAAAGATCTTGTATCCAGGTAGGAAAGCATAAATGAACATGTGAACCTCCAGCAGTGCTGGGTACAGAACAGCACGTTACTAAAAATGTTATTTGTTTCGTAACACGTTATGACAAAGCACTCAGAGTAACAAAAGTCTGAGAAGAATAAAATGGCTTATCCCACTTTGTACACAAATTGGTGATCTTGGAGAGAAGTTGGAGGGCATATCTAAGTAAATTTTACAATTAACCTTTCATAACCAAGCAAGTCATGCAGTCATTAATGTATCTAGAATTTTTTTTCCTATATATTTTTAATTAAAATTATGCATCGTTTTCATAGGAAACTGACATTGTGGGTTTATGGGCTCCTGAATTACATTATGTAGTATATCATTATCATAACTTACCCTCCCATCATGCTATTAATTTCTTGGAAATTAAGCTTTTAATTTTACTACAGCATATTACAAGAAAATCTAGTTAAATTTAGAAGCATTGTGGGACTCCTCTCTTGTACTGTAGATGCATTACCTGGTCAGATTTATTTTAATTTGCTGTTAAGGAAATATAAGAATATACTCTAATAACATATACGTCTAGGTAGTGAGAAAAACAATCCTTTGTACCTTTTACTATTACAAACATCTGCCTTTTCCTATGCCTTAGGAGTGTATACACATATATGCATTTGAGAATATAATTTCTGTGATAAAAAGATCATGTGCTAACTACTCAAAAAATTTACCTTGTTAGGGTCCTTACAGCACTGTTGGTGAAGCTGATGAAAGACTGGGACATTTTCTATTAGATGCTCTCCAGAACAAAGACAACATGCAGACAGGTTTGTCTACAGCTATAATAGTGTATTATTGAGAAAAATCTCACCTCCTAAAAATCAAAAGAGAAAAGGGAAATTACTGGAAATACAGAAAAAGGATGCATGAACAATCTTACTGGAGGCTGCAGAGGTACATCTGTAGTGGAACTACATGACCCATTCCTTGGGGAGTTCTGAGGAGGACATACCCCTGTCGACCTGAGTCTGTTGCTGTCCTGCTCTTGCCTGACTTGTTATTGACAAACTTCACTAGGGTAACATTAACACGTTCTCACTAATCATGATTACATTTAGATGTCTTTGTCTTGAATCTAGATCTGTCTCAAATCTATCTAGTTATGTTTCTCTCCTGTTACTCTCCTGGCAAGTTCAGCCACTTCTCCCTTGCTACTATGACAGCAACTGCATCCTTATTTACTCCTTCATCTCTTCCCTGCAGCAATTAAGAAAGGTTAGGTGGAAATCTGTGTATCCCTAGGCTAAAGACATCCATATGTGTGCATGCAGGAGAGAGCAGGCAGGCACCACAATTTTTCACAGGGAAAGAAACCTGCATCCATTTCTCCTTCAAAAAAAGAAGGAGGTGAGTTGTTCGTGAAGCACGCAGGCAGGTTGGTTTCTCCTATGTTAATAGGAGGTTATAGGAAAGGCTCATAAAGGAGATGTCTACTCAGTCCTTAGCAACATGCTGGCTGCTCCAGGCAGGTCAAGTGTAAATGGAAGAATGACGAAATGGAAAACAGCAGCAGCCCAGGCCCCTGCCCCCCACAATGGTGGATCCCTGTGTAGTGCAAAGGCCCAGAGCAGGAGCAGGGCAGGTGACTGCCAGTGATGGATGATGTTGAGCCCCCAGAGAGAAATGATATAATAAATGGTTGGTCTGACACAGCAGGAAATGTTTGCATAGTGAAGTGACGGGTAATAAATAAGATTATGTTGCTATAGGTCCTTCAGGCAATGCTGGTGCAAAAATAGTTTCTGATTTTCTTTCTCTAAGGAAAAAAGGTACAGAGGCAAGGACTCTTATTTGTAATAGCCAGGCATGAATAAAACCATGTTTGCTGCATACAGTCAGTGTAAGCTAAGACTGATGCAGATCCAAGCCAAGTGTTGCTGTAGCTGTAGGTTCTCAGTTGTCATAGTTAAGGTTACAAAACAACTTCCCTCTCAGCTTGTCTAATGTCACTGTCTAGAGCTGAGGCCACACCACTGTATCCATGGTTAAAACATCGTCTTGCACTTGTTATCAGGGCTGCCACTACGACTGGAACAATCAGACAGTTTGCCCTAGGCATTGACTCATTATATGTGATACATGATAATACAC